CATCGTCCGGGACGATCCTGCTTAATAAATATCCGATTTAAGTCGTTTTGAAGAGAGAGAAAGTCCAGGAGAGAGAAAACCGAAGGGAAAAGAAGAAAAGTGGATTTTTGGGCGACTTCCGTCCGTTTTCGTCCGTCGCCGTAGTTGGAGAAGTTGACCGACTCGAGGTAAGACACATTCCGCCTTTCTCAATTTTCAGAAACGAGAATTTTGACGACTTTTCAGTCTTGATTTTTGTTTCCGTTAGCGAATAATTGATTTTATTTCGCACTGCTAAAGATTTTACCGCGTAACTTTTGGTATGTTTCTGAGATAATAATTATACACGTTTTGAGTATTTTCTGGAATATTTTTACCGGATATTTTAAATTCTGCGGCGTTTTAATTGAATTACAAATTATCAGGATGTTGAAAAATGTTACTTTAGTACAATAAAAGTCTTATAATGTTGTTGTGGATATTCTGTGATAATTTGGTAAATTTCTAGATTTGTAAATTTTGTGTAAATTTCGTATACTGCCATTATGCCGCTGATTTTTCGTACGAATTCTGATTTCTTTGAATTGATACATTGAATGAATTGAAGTGTTTGTATGCTACCAGAAGGGAGTTATAAGGGGCCAGGATCCTTTGAGATTCTGTAAGTGTCAGGGAAATCTGATATGAGCTCTGAAATCTGAAAATAAGTTCTGTTCCGGAATTCCGAATATCTGTTATGTTCTGGTGCTATAAGCACAAAGGGAGATATAAAGGGCCAAAATCTATCGAGATTCTGTAATTGTCAGGGAAGGGAGACATAAGGGGCCATAATCCGTCGAGATTTTGTAAGTGTCAGGGAAGGGAGGCATAAGGGGCCAGAATCCGTAGAGATTCTGTAAGGGTCTGGGAATTTGAAATCTGATATGTGATATGTTATCTGAAATCTGATGTTTGATATCTGATAATCTGTGCTGTAACTTATATGATCTGTTTTATGAATTATCTGTTAGAATTATTTGATATGAATGTGATTTTATCTGATTTCTGTACGATTCTGGTTATTCCGTACGATTCTGTTTGCTCTATGACATGAAAGCCTTATGATATCTGTTCTGAAATCTGATTTGAAATGACTTCAATTTTCTATATCAATTGTTTGATTTCTGTTGATCAAGTATCTGTTCTACGATTTCCATACGGCCATTTTCTGATGTATTTTCTGATGTGAATTTCTGATGATTTAGATTGGTGAGTGATGTCTTGTTGAGCTGTGTTAGCTCATCCTTATTTTCTGCGGGGTTTTCAGGTTCTGGGAAAGGGAAGGAAGTTTTGGATTAGTAGTTCAGAGTCTGATCAGTGATTAGGTATTTTGTACTTTTTGATTTTTGTACAGTCATGGCTTTTCTGTTATGTTCTGTTCTTTCTGTCTATAAGCAATGTACTGTATTTGTATATGATTGTTTTGATGAAAGAAAAGATAGATGAACTGTTATGTATTTGGATGTTTATATTAGCTCTGTGTTTTTCTGTCTATTTAATATTTGGAAGAAAGTCCGAAGCAAATTCTAAAGCTAGATCCTAGATTTTCAAAGGTTCCGTCGCGGCCCGATGCGAGCGGGATCCATCCCGGTCGGGTTGGGTCGTGACACTAAGACTCATTCAATCATCTTATAGGTTCTTTCATTGATCATTACTAAATCTTTGGCTTTGATACCACTCTTGTCACGACCCAGCCCGGCTAGCCAGATAATAACGGGGCGAGAACAGTAGGTCGTACGAATAATACATATAAAACATAAATAATTATATTTAAAACTTTAATGCTAGTACATAAATATCATCCAGAAATGAAAGAGCCACTAATAACATCAATACCATAATTGAAGTGTTCCAAACTGTTCTTCACACATAATTTCTAAAACACTAAACCATAATTACATAAACTCCAAATCATTGTTCTTACACAGGTACAAACTCAAATTGAAAACATAAAAGAAACCTCTCTTCCAGAGGTCCTCTACGACGATATGTGTACGGTCATCGTGCAGCCATCAGTTTTTAACATTTTCTTCTGAAAAACATTTTCAAATGTAGGATGAGCCAACGCTCAGCAGGTGAAAAATATTTATCTCAAATTTATGAAATATTTTTCTTAACACATATCATTAAACATGAAATAGAAAAAGGATAAGTATAAACATTGATACTTGCATTTATAAAATAGCTTCAATAACCGTTTCTTAAAATATTTTTCTTATTCCATAACATTCTTTTCTTTTTTTTTAATAAAATTTCCTTTTTCTTAAATGCATAACTTTTAAAATCATAATATGTTAATCACCCATCCCGGAAGTGTCTGATTTTGTACTCATCAGGTATACAGTCAAATTTTGATCATTTCCTTTACCATTGGCTCTACGAGTCTCCTTTACTATTATTTTTTGCACTTTTTGGATCAACATGCACATGCACTATAATATAATACTTATTTTCATCAAAAAATTTGAAACTGTTGAATGCCTCATATGATCTTCAATAGTCTTTCGGGTAAATGAAAACTTACATCTCTTATGTCTTCAATTATTTATTTAACTTGAATAGTTTAAATAATATGTCATGTATATAAGCAAAGATTGAAAAACTAAAAACCATAATAAAAATTTATATTCAGGAATATAAATTTATAACATTTTAAAAGTGCAGAATTATTTAATTAAAATTTCATAAATTCAATTTAAATGCAAATCACCTACTTTGCAAGAAGCGAATAAACACCACAATGTTGTACAACGCTGTCAACCACTTGCCTTCACCTTAATCCTCACCTAAAAGACAGTTACAATTTAACTAAGTATACATCGTGATTATATCCAAATAATTAATATAATTTATTTCTATTTTCGAAATTATTTAAATCTAAAATTTAGATATCCCTAAATCTTAAATTTTGCTCAAATCTCTATTCTAAAATTATTTCTAAACAATATTTAATAATTACCTAATTTATTTTCTGATTAATTAATTTAGGAAATTAGTGAAAATGAGATTTTCATCCAAAATCAAAATTTTCACTTTAAAATCATTCCTAAGGACCTTAGAAACACTTTTCCTAAAAGCACTTAATAGAAATTAGATTTTGAGTAAAAAGCCCTTATTTTTCTTTCTCCAAAAATCTCTCCAAAATCTTCATTTCTACTATTAAAATATTTCTCTAATAAATCCCTACTGATTCCTTAAAAAAATTTGGGAGAAAAACACATTTTCTATAAATACCCTAAAATTTCGTTATCAAATTTCTTGAGATTTTGAAAGATTCGCTTTAAAATAATCGTACCTGAATGTTCTTCTCGTTGTCCTATTCGATTTGGACTTATTTTCTCGCTGGAAAGCCCTCGTGGAACCCACTTATCCGCCCGTCCGTCCGCTCCCTCTCAGTTTGGTCGTGATTTGCGAAAGAAATGAAAGGGGGAGGGTTCGGGTAGTGTAATAAGGGAGAAAGGGTTTGTCAAAAGTCTATTATGCCCTTAAGTAAAATTTGGCATTCTATTCGCATAGGGGTAAAACCGGTATTTCCAAACTTCTGAATTTTATAATTCTCAAAATATACATAATTAAATATAAGTCCTATATGTCAAAACTATCAGAATTTTGCGTAGGATTTTTCAAAAATATTTCTGTTGAATTCTGTTAACGTTGAAAATTTCACTTAAGTCTCGTCGCGACGCGTCTAAAAGCGTGCGACGACCTATGAACATTTTTTTGGGTTTTACAATATTATTGATAAATTTTTATGTTATTTAAGACTTGATTGTTATGTAGATATATATCAAAATTTAGATGTAGCTTATAGTTTATTCAAGATAGGCATAATGTTTTATAAATTTCTTTCTCACTCAAAAGATGAAAAAAAAATGAGGATATGTACTAAGATGAAGATGTTAATTGTGAAGATGGAAAATAAGTGAAGTTGGTGGAGCGAGGATTGGTCTAGATGACCTTAGTATATTTTGCTATATCATACATAAATAATGAGAAAGAAGAGAATATGATGCAATATTGTTTATGTCAAAAATTACCCCTGTGAGGGAAAAATAATAAGACCAAGTTGAATAGCATCCGCTACTGATAAAAAAGTTGTATAAAGCAATATACCTTTTAAGTAATTAGATGAAATATAGTATATGATATGTAGAAAACCATAATTTTATAACATAAAATTATTTGATATTATAAAAATCTGCATGAAGCGCTACTATGCTAGCAAGCACAATGATGCTATACTTGTGAGCACAAAGATGACGGGAAAGTGCCGCCACAATGTTGAAGCCTTAGTTTTGACAAATAATATTGATGATTGATGAGACTGATTACTTATGATATTGATTGACTTATTAAACTGATCGAATGATATAAGAAATATGATTGATATGCAATAAGACTGATATGACACTAATATGAATACATGATAGATTGGTTCACTTGATATATAAATAACAAGAATGTGTATGATAGATTACTGTTTATATATGAATACGATTTCTTATATGCTCATTGATTATGTTTGGTGCATTGATTTCAGTTGTAGATTTTGATGACTTGTTGAGCTTTTTTGTGCTCATTATATAATTTATATATATATTTTTAGACAAGAGTAAGATAATAGAGGAGTAAAGATGATCTGGGTCTGCTAGCTAAAGTTTCGTTCTACATCTATTGGTTTTTCTTTTTTGTAGTCATACTGTATTCTTAGTGATGGATTGTTGTTGAGTGATCAATACGGCTATTGTACATACATTATTTTGGGCTTGTATCAGTTGTAACTATTAAATGAAAATAAATGTATATATATTTTTGTTGTTTATATAAAACTGTAAGCACTAGTTGATGTTTGAGAGAAAAAAAATGTAATTCTTCCAATTTAAATTTTGGGGTGTGACATGATATCACTATAGACAATTAGATATCCAAAATTAGGTTCTCATTATGTTGATTAAGAATACATTTCTTTATTCACCATAATATTTAAGCAACCCCTACAATTTTTATTCCAAAAGACAAATGCTATTACAACATCATAAAATTTCACAATAACCTCTGAGACATTTTGCCTCACATACAAATGCATAAACAACATACTTGAAACATACAGTTTATGACAAAGCTTTAATTAAAATACAAACAACATAACTATTTGCTTTTGACTTTGCAATCATCTTATAATCAGTTGGCTTTTCTGCAGTTAATCCTTATCTCTCCATCAGTTCCAGTTAAAGGACTTATATTTCCCATGTTTACAATAGCAGCAGAAAAATCATTGAAGAATTTAGAAGGATTAGCTGCATAAGTTGACACTTGAGAATCTGTGGAGCCTCCATTGTTGAGTTGCTGATCAGAATGTAGAAGGCCTCTTTGGTTCAATAGATTCTTGTAATAACAATTATCAAAGTAATTTGGACTACCAGCATCAAGTGGGGAAAGGTTGTCATCACCATTAGAGAGAGGACAATTGTTCTGTTCAGTGGAAGAGAATGAACTATTTATGTTGCTTTCATTGTAGACGCGGCTTCGGAATGTCGTGCATCTTGCTTGTCCTATTGTATGTGCTCCTGCAAAACATAAAAGTTCAGGTGAAATGTTACATTCAAATTTAAGCTTCATTTGGGAAAGCTTTCTTAGTGCTTTATGAAGCAGTTTCTTAGTACATAATTTTTTTGAATTTGAAATTTTTTTATCATAATGTTGTTTCATAAAGCAGTAAGAAAATTATTGCATACGAAATCTTAAATTATAATTTTGTTTGTTGTCTAACATGTTGCATGGTATGTTTTCTAGATAGCATATTTCATGTATGTCAGGAAAGAACTTGAAAAATATCATTGAAGATGTAAATTATCGATCAATCTTCTTGTAGGAAAAAAAAAATCAAAGCATATAAGTTACCTGAGAGGGATACCATATCTGTGGTGCTGAGACCTTTTTTAGAGAAGGCTGATATGAGAGTACTAAGATCTGATGTTGGTGCAGGAATATCTGTATTTGCTTGGCTAAAGCTTGCTGTTGTTGCATCTCTTCTTCCCAGCTGCACAGTCCAAGAAGGCCCTCCTAACTATCATGATTAAGTTTTGTTAAGTCAGTAAATATTTACAGAAAATTGCTAATTTTATTATATGTTCAAGATGTTTATAGCTATTTGTTGAAAAAATAATTGTAGAAATGTTCTTGAAAAATAATTTTCTCAAGAAATTGTTATAGTCATTAGATTTTCTGTTTATTTCAAAAAATTGAGTCTTAACTATCAAATTGTATCAAATTGTACAAATTTTAATTTTTGTACTAAAAAACTGTTTCAAGAAGGGGAAAGAAAGTCGTCTCAAACGAAGTCAAAGTAGAACAAATTATATAAAAGAAAAAAGGAAAAGAAATATAAGATAGTGTACTGAATATTTTTTTGAATAAATTTATGCAAGTTTCTTACAGCAACCACAGAGTCACGAGCAGCAATGGCTAAAATGTCAGCACAAGAGACTACTTGAGTGCACGAAGCCTCAACATTTGCTTTAATGGTATCAACAACATCAAAGCCTCTCAGGGAATTGTTGTTAGGCCCTGCAGTCTTCTCTCCTGTGAAGCTGGTAGTGTCATCCAGTAGAATGGAGCCATCACAGCCCTGCCATTAAAATATAATCAGCTTTATGTCTGCATATAGATTTTGTTTTGCGACAGCTTTTTTATAATTGCTTGTATTAAAAAACTGTTTTAAGAAGCAGTAAGAAAACAGTCCCAAACGAAAACTATAGTGTTTGGAAAAGACAAACTAAATATATGAAGAAGAATGAACTGTTTGGCTGAGGTTTTGCAAACGCACATTAACAAAACAGTCATGGAAATGAAGACGGAGGAGAGAAGCTCCCATGCGTTTTTCCTTGTAGATAGCCGCCCTAACAGTGGACTGGATGATACGGAAAGCTGAAGGACATGAATTGTCATAAAAGGTTGAGGAGAGCTGAGCAGAAGCCAAAGTAGCTGTGAAGAAGATGAATATGAGGAATTCTGGAGCATTCAAGCTCTGTTTAGAAGCCATGATCGTAATAATGGTAGACTGATTGAAACAACTAAGGATCATTTAGAGGAGTTATATAGGCACAGATCCAGTGAGGAGACCAAATTCAAACACGTCGCAGCCAGGAAAATATGCATTCGATAATGGATATGGAAAGTCAGAGTTGAAGCAGCTGGAATGGTGGAAAAGCTCATGGTTGATTGCAGCCTAATAAAGGGAAGTAAGCAAAGCTTTGGGTTGACTGTATTGCTTTGCTGTTCGAATGGTTTGTTTTAATGGAAATTGAGTTTGTTTAACTATCACTTATGATAGAAAATGCATGAAGTGAGTGGATTTTGTCAACTTTTTATAGCTATTTTGGGGCCCCTTTGGCATTATAATCAGCACTACTATCTTGACAGTGCATGGCATATGGTGATCTAGAAACACATTAGTTAGAATTGAGAGTTGCGGTTGCGTTGGGCTTAGAAAGTGAAGGCCTTTGTTGAACTAGCTAGTGGCCAAGGTTCGATGGCATAATACTTGAGCTATATATCGTGATGCAAAAGCTAGCTGATGGTTCTAAAATCTGAGAAACTTGAGACTAGGGACTGAAGGTACAACAAAGGAGAATTTAAGGAGGGGCATGAGGAGATTGAATAAGTGCACATCCAAAATCTTAAAGTATTTTTATATATCATATACTTTTTACTTGTATGATAATTTTTGTAATGATAGTTAATTGATGGCTCTGATATCTATTGGAAAATTCTGATAGTATTTTTAATATAAACAATTTATGCCCCCTAGGGGTGTAACCGGGTCAAGCCGACTCGCGAGCTGGCTCAAGCTCGACTTGTTAACAGGCTCGACGAGTCGAGCTCGAACAAGATTTCAAGCTCGATGGCTTATCGAGCTCGTGTTTGAACAACACACCACTCGACTTGAGCTCGTCGAACAGTAATTGCTGGCATGAAATTTCCTCGGGCAGGAATTTCCACTGGCAGGAACTCGTGGGCGGGAATTTCCGCGGGCAGGAAATTTTTGCTGGCGGGAAATTTCGGGACAGGAAATTGCATAAGAAGTTACGTGGGTGGGTCAACATGGATTCGACACGAGCTCGTGAACCGGCTCGTGCTTGTTCACAATGGGACAAGCTGAAACTCGAGCTCACCTTCAGATTGACGAGCTAAGCTCGATAGTGCTAAGAAAATGGCCATAAAATCTTTTCCATTCACACAAAGCTATCATCTACAATTTCCTATATTTCTCTTTGAGAAATTTTCTTATTAAACATAAAAAAAAAAAAACATCGCATTATGCAAATTTTTAACATGCACGAAACCTAAAAAATTATTAGTTGTTTGATCTTATATGTAAAATAAAATGTTAGTAAAATTTTTTGAGGTATTTAATATGAAGTAAAATGAATACATAGTAAACTCTTGGATATTTAAAATAAAAAAAACATCGCATTATGCAAATTTTTAACATGCACGAAACCTAAAAAATTATTAGTTGTTTGATCTTATATGTAAAATAAAATGTTAGTAAAATTTTTTGAGGTATTTAATATGAAGTAAAATGAATACATAGTAAACTCTTGGATATTTAAAATACTTCTAAAGATTTTTTTTTTTTTTTTTTTTGCTAAATTCATATGAAATTCCTTAGGGTTAGCATAAAACCAAGCACATAGGTAAACACTAAACATAATGTTAGGCCTAATTATGATCAAGTAAATTATGCTTTAAACCTACCATAAGCAGAACATTTTTAATTAAAATTTTATTAGTTTTTCCTATTGTACCAACTCCGACTGCCTTTATCATATTGTATTATGAAAGTGTTACCTTTCCTCTTCTCTTGGCTTCTAACATGATGAACTTCTTCATAACTTAATTCATATGCCTAGAGCACTTGATATCTTGGTTTTCAATGCTCTCACTAGACCTCTTATGAGAGCATATATACAAAATTAATGAAGTTATAATTTTGGGAACCTAGGTAAGTTTGGGTCCTACCATAAATTGAAATCAATATATGATATGTTGTGCAGATGAGACCTTGAGTGTCCAAAATAAATGTGAAATATTGTGAACTTTGCAATGGAAAATGCATTTAATGTGTCATAATATGCCAAAGTAAAATCTAACTCATAGAAATGGATGGGAAACCCTATGTGATGATGATTTCCTATATGATAAATGTACATGTGGTTCTCTCATATATAGTGTATGCATTGATCTTGATGAATAAGCCCATAAGTCTTTAATTTTCTTTTTGTAAAATTTTATTTTAGATTTTATGAATTACCAATTATATACATGCTGTATGCTCACTACTATTCAATTTTGGGGCTACATTCTCTAGTTCTTTAAATTAACTCTCTAAGTCAATATGTCCTTATATTTTTTCTTTAAGATTATTTATTACCTTTTCAAATTCTTTTTTTAGGTTATAATGTAATTCTTCTAATGTAATATGATCCTTTTTCAAGCATGCAAAATTTTCTATCAGATCCATGTGCTCTTATATCATTGCAGTTTAATCATGTATGATGCTAAAAAATTTTGTTCATCTATTTATTATTAATATGCATTTGTTCATAAAATGTAAGTAGTTCATCATATGTAAGATCACATATCTGATTGATGTCATAATCATTTGTTCAATCCCGAATTCCTAGTTTATGATTTTAATGATAAAAAACTTTATTGATTGAAATTTCATTTCTCCTAGAATATATTTGTATATTATTTTTCTATATTTACTAACATTTTAGGTTCATCATATACCACTCAAGAATGATCAAGGCCCAAGTTTGGGTAAAATAGGATGTTATTTGAAAGAGTCTATATTTTCAATTCTATTTATTTTTATATTTCTTGAGTCTGGCTATGTAAGGGTATATGATAAATTATCAACCATGCACACACACATAAGGGAGTAAGAAAAGCAAGGTGAAAATCTTTGAACTAGTCATATTGTACGATAACAATCATATTGTATGATCAATTATATGAAAAATTAGTGTAACAACTAATTTCATGATTACTGCTTATGAACTAACCGTATTGTGCTATCATAATCGTACTATGCAATCATAATAATATGGTATGATTCATTTCCATTAGGAAACACTAGTCACTGGAAAATTTTAGTAAGTATATAAAAAAATTAAATTTTAAATTGATCGTATTATACGATACTAATCGTACTGTATAATATTTAAAATCTTACTTAAATTAATCTCCATTGTTAGTCAATCATGTTAAGGTTTAATAAATATGGTCAATCATATTGTATGATGGATATAGACAAAATCTGATCGTCTTGGATATCTTATTAGACGAAACATTGATTTTTTTAACATATTTTATAATATGAAGCTAATCGTATTGAATGAACCCTTAATATTTGTACTAATTATATAGTACAATGTTAATTATACTAAATAATTGACATATATGATTTCAAATCATCCTAGTGGTCATCTTATATGAATAAAAGGAAACTAACTAATCGTATGGTAAGAACATACACTCTTATTGTATAATATGTACACAAAAATTGAATAGTTCATTTGAACGACTGTTCCATCATACTAGATGAATCCCTATTTTGAAATGATTGTACTATATGAACTCAAATCACACTTGATGAATAATGATGGCTTAATTAAAAACTTGGATTTGTTTAATCCTAATACTTAAGTAACTCAAAATTTTCTCTTATAAGACCTTTGTGTTAAGAGAGTTGCTATTTGCATATTTTATATTCTTGCAACTTGTATAGTTTTGATTATTCCAAATATTATTGTTTTAAGTTTTGTTATCTCCTAATATTTTTTGGAAGATTTGTTTTTGCTCTTGTGTGGAGTAACCTTTCAGAAAATTCGAACTGCAGACTAATGGCAACTTCAAATCAAATTCAGTATAAGATAGTTTGTAAATTGAAGCTTGTATTTTTCTTTGCATTGAGTTTGAGAGGGAGTGATTGTAATTGTGTAAACACACACATACTTAAGGAGATCTTTAAAAAATTACTGATCGTACGGGACGAACACAGTTCGTACGGGACGATCAAATCAGTTATCTCCTCGGAAGAGCAATGGAATAAACAGAAATCGACAAAAAATTTTCTCCGTCCTGATCATCCAGGATGAATTTTTATTCATCCAGGATGAATTTTTATTCATCTAGGATGAATTTTTATTCATCCTGGGATGAAATCTCCTCTGGAAAATTTTCATTCATACAAAATTTATATTCATTCCAGGATGAAATGCTCTCTGGAAAATTTCGTCCATACGAACTCCAATTCGTCCCAAGATGAAATGTCCTCTGGAAAAATTTTGTTCACACGAAATTAATATTCTTGCCAGGATGAAATGCTCTCTGGAAAAATTTCATCCAAAAAAACTCCAATTTGTCCCAGGATGAAATGTCCTCTATAAAAATTTCGTCCGGACGAACGCATATTAGTCCTAGGACAAAGCAAACTGACTCATAAAAAAAATTGGTAACTTCCTGCAGATTTCAGAACTGACCTATGGTATAACTGTTCGTACCAGACGAACCTGGTTCGCACGGGACATTAATGTGTATGAAGTCAGTTTGTACCAATATACATTGGGTTCGTTTCCAACTGAATTAAGTAACATTGTCCGGGATGATCCACGATCGTACAGGACGATCCACTGCTGACAGACTTGAATTTTAGCAGTTTTTAGACAAATTTTTCTGTCTTTCCTATATAAAGTCCAATATAAACTACCACT